GTTTCCATATGCTTTTGGCGTCTTTTCAAGTACTTCCAAGGCAAGAACGAACTTCGAAAGAAGATTACAATGACAACTCCAGTAATTACGATCATAAAGCCTGACCCAGGTTCGGGTCTCAAAAACTTCACCATGTCCTTCTACCTGCCACCCACCATCACCAACCCTCCCCTCCCTACTGACAAAACTGTGTTTATCGAAACAAAGACATTCAAGGTCTACGCGCATGGATTTAGCGAGTACGCAGTTAGAGAGAAAACCTGGAAGAAGCACGCAGTTATGATGCACGGGATGCTGAAGAAGAATGGCCTTACTGGAAGGTACTACACACACAACCAGATGTACATCACAGCTTCCTATGATGACCCAATGAAGCTATTTAACTCACATAATGAGGTGTGGCTGATTGCCAAGGAAAACAACGGCAAGAAATAAGCAAATTACASAAGACTTGTGCCATCTTTGCTTAGTTATGTCCACAACAATTATCCGAAATTATTAGCCATAGTCCAAGGTTGAAGRAAGACTAGGTCGAGTTGACATTCCAGTGCATTGTGGGACTGTCACACATGCACTGCAATGTAAACTCGACAAAGTTTTTTCTTYAACCTCGAAATGCTTAATATAAATAGCTACAGCTGAAAAGCGGTTACAAAAGCATGAAAACCTATTGTCAAAGATAACTGCTCCAAGTAAAATATTTCTTATCCTCAATCCTTAACATCATACCGAACTTTTTATTGTCATTTATCTGTAGCTGTTAACACAAAATAATAATTTTAATATAAAGCGATAAAAGTCGATGCTAGTTAAAACCTTGAATTATCCTATCGATACATTTATGAATAGCCCCTAATTGCAAAGTGACTGTTTTTGGGGACTCCATCTTAGGTCAAGTCCACCATAAGCCTGTCACGAATGTTATACAAGAAATGTGTTCACAATAAATTTCTTCTTTTTGAGTGAGGGTTGTTCGCAGTTATGCTACGGGGAAGGCCTAAGTCCACGCATGCGCTGTTGGCTTTTGACCGCAGTCGCTTATGTAAAAGACACACATGATGTGTCTTGGAAAGACGTACAGGTATTCTCTTACCTCTGCCCATTTATACGAGTAGTATCCAGCAGAGTAGCCCCCGCCAAAAATGTGCAAGAACGAGCACGGAAAGTGGTCTTCGTCTAATGGTGGGATAACTGTGTAGTCTTTAGCGATTCGATGCATCACTTCACGCCAAGGATCAGTACTAWATCCAACACAAAGACATCAATTAATCAAGATGTAATAAAAAATTAACTCAAACTGCATCGAGTTTAGAAATCAAAAGAACCAATTTCAATGAGGCTAAAAGTAGTTAAGGCAAGGTTCAAATAGAGACAATACTGGTCAGTGGTCTTTCCACAGGTAGACCCAGACCTTATGGGGGACCCAGGAGGATTTTCAGGGGCTGGATATAGACGTCTTTCTTTYGCCCCATTTTGGTTGATTGTAGTGGATCAAACATTGTAAACATAGCAGATAGCAGATTGTAGTGGATCTAGAATATACCCTCTTCTCACTCATCAGTGTATGGTAAGTATTGTTCTGGTCCGTACCTAAATTCCATTGATCACTCGATGTAAACCTAAAGATGAAGCAGCCCAAGAGGGGCATTAGTAAACTTAATCTATTAGCAGTTTTACTGTATTTTGGTAATGACCTTGTGTGTAGTTCCATATCCAATGCAGAAAAGTACAGTTGGCGCAGCATTCCAGATCCTGCCATGTATCGACGAGCTAAATCAAAACAAAACAAGACAAGCGTAGTAGTTTTTTCGGTTTAATTATAAGAAACTCCTTCGCTCAAAAAGCTAATAATAATATAAAGAATAGCTTATTTCTTAAAAATGCATTCAAAAAAATCAATGCTTTGTACAAAAATAAGAATAAGAATATGATAAAATATAGAGTTTGAAAAAATGAATGAATAAAAAGATGAAATGAACGAATGAATGAATTGCATAAATGAAGGAAGGGAGGAAGGAAGGAAGGAAGGAAGGAAGGAAGGAAGGGAGGGAGGAAGGGAGGGAGGGATGGCACAACTTTAGAATACTGGGCCGAATAATATACATAAACAACGAGAACCAATCAAATTGTAGAAAGATAACAATACATTCCAGCTTTGGATAGTGGTGCCTATCAGAAACCAGCAGAAATAATTCTCATTCAGTCTAGGTTTCTGATTGGCTTGACTTCTTAAAATTGGAATGCATTGTTTTCATTCTATGTTTCATTCTATTGTATTCATTCTTGTCTAAGTGGAACCGGTTACAATGCTGTAATCACTTTTTCACTGTAATCATTGTTCTATGGTTATTTCATCGTTTTCAAAAGACTTGCTTTATTCTATAGCATAACAGTGCATAAGTTGCTCTGAATGAATAAATGAATGGATATATTGATAAATGAACTTTAGTATGAATGAATAAATGAATGAATGGATAGATGGATGGATGGATAAATGAACTGATAAAGGCATAGATGGATGGAGGAATGAATGAAAGAATGAATGAATAAATGAATGAATGGATAGATGGAGGGATGGACTGATGATGGATGGACAGATGGAGGGATGGATGGATGGAGGGATGGACTGATGAATGGATGGACAGATGGATGGATGGAGGGATGGACTGATGAATGGATGGGCAGATGGATGGATGGATGGAGGGATGGATGGACTGATGAATGGATGGGCAGATGGATGGATGGATGGAGGGATGGATGGACTGATGAATGGATGGACAGATGGATGGATGGGAAAATTGATAACTGATACAGAAGCAGAACAAAATCATGCATAATAATCTAATGCTTCCAGCTAATATATACTAATTTATATTAATGATATATAGCCATGAAAAAATTGCTTTTCCATTAATCTTCTACCTTTGGTGATTTGTGTGAAAATATCATCAGGCAGTGTTTGTCCTGTCTTGTAGTGACCACTCACAAGATCCACTGTTGTCTTGTCATACATCCAGTTCTCCATGAACTGGGAAGGCAGTTCAACCTAACAAACAAAATAACATATTTATTAGAGGRTTTTGCCATTTTGTTTCATTTTCTAATCCAGTTGGAATTCAGAATATCTGATGCAGAAAGGGGAAACAGGGTAATGAGTGAGCACAGGCCAATCAATAACCAGCGAACCTTATTCTACTCATGTAGTAGCCTGCGTAGCGGCCTTCAAAAGATGGAGTTGGGACAAAATTGATCATGGATTGCATTCTTTTAAATAATTGATAGTGGTAAAACATTATAAAATAAGCAAGAAGTTTGGAAATGTTTCCAAACGATATATAGCCTGCGTAGCAGCGCTTTGGGGRAGGGGTCAAGGAAGGGAAAGAAAACTGCTATGATGACACTACATATCTTGTATTTCCCTTTCATATAGTGAATGTAAAATTCCCATTGTTTAAGAGCATGTCAATCATTTCATTCTATTATTTTAGGCCTGAAGTACCCTTCTCTTGCTCACTAAAGTGCCAAAATAAAGATTGTCAATCAGTGTTACATAGGTACACACTCACATATTGTTGGTATTTCAATTACTTTACTGTATATGCAATTTGACAATGATGCAATATTCATTTAGTCCAAAGTGCTCGCCTCTCATCAATGCAACCAGTCCTGCTGGTCTCGCTGTCTTATGTGAGTAGAGTTGCTTGTTGGATGGTTCTCTCCTGTGCTTTGAGGGGTTTTCCTCCAGTTTCACCAGATTTACTCTCTCGGTAAATATCAACATCTGAATTCCAATAGGAATCCRAATCCAGTGAAAGAAGARCCACTCTGGAATCCACTGTTAATTTACATTATTTACTATTTACATGTATATCACTGTTATGTTTATAAAAAAGAATATGATGGAGAAGCTTAATGTATCACAACTCAATTAACTTACAGCATCCCATTCAACATTGTGTATCCCTGCAGCATCTGTGTACGGTACAGTGGTTAACATGTGTTGTAGACCATGACCAAACTAGAAACACAAGGRAAAATCAAAGGTACAGCTTCAGAAAAAAGCAAATCCTTATAAAAATAATAATTCTCCAAATAATAAATCTTTCTCGTATGGAATATCAAACTTGTGCATTCTGGTTTACCATGAGTCTTTGCTTTACCATGAGTCTGCTTAGTGATATTTGGTCATTAATTTCTCGACATTGTACTCTAGGTATGCGCTGAAACTTGGTAAGTATCTGTTTTTTATTGCTAGGCAAATTCGATCTTAATGGTTCTTTTGCTGCAGCTTCTTTGGATATCTAGGTTTGGTCTTACAGGTAAGATTAGAGTAATRAAACAGTATTCGTCTTGAAATCTCACTCTTTCATACATACGGATATTTGTACTACGTAATGTAGTCCATACATATCAAACAACTTCCAGGGATTCAATTATGATCAGCTGTTATGAGTGTAAACTAGAAAACTTATTYAAATTAGTAGTTTATTGAACATGAAAAAATATAACTTTGCCTTGTCTTTGTGGACAAGGAAGGTTTTTTGTGTTATGACCCCGTTTGGAAAATTGCTTATTTCATGGAAKTGGTCAAACCTTTCAATATCATTTTCTCCTTTTATCAGGTCGCAAATATTTGGGGAAATCAGTAAATGTTAATTTCTCAGTAAAAGTCGTCATTAGATTTGTAGTCTTGTCTCCCTGTGAAATAGGCACGAGCCACTTTAAAAACCACAGGCTGAAATTTAGCCTATGAAACACCGAATATACAAGAACCACTTCAGCCTGATAAAGGAGACAGGTTCTTATGTGAAAAGTATAAAGCTTTAACAAACATGTAAAAAGCATGTTCTAAGGGTCATTGAGAATATTGTTAATGTTTATTGTGAATAGAAGACCTTTCAGTGTCAATAGCACACTTATCAAGAAAATATAAATTAAAAACACCATATCAAGAACAATTGTTTTTGGCTTGTAAATAAGAACCTGTTATGAACTGACCCACCTGATTTCTCACTATTACCAAATATATAAGAACCATTACTGACTTGGGAAAATAGTGGTTCTTTTATGCAGGTTTTTATTGTAGCTTTATTCACACAGAACACAGTAACACATTGACCGTTCAACAAAAGGCAAGAGAGATTATAAAATCAACTTATCATTTTTAAGTTATTAATTGCACAGGTATTGAATCAGTTGATTAATATCTTACCTCATGAAAAAGAGTCTCCACTTCATGGAATGTCATGAGTGATGGTGTATTGTTGTTTGGTGGAGACTGGTTACAAACAAGATATGCCACGGGTATCCTGTTCATCAGGCCACTTTTACCTAAACCACAAAAATAGGTCATAAAAATAAAATTGTCTTTCCATTGTAGTATAGCCATCATGCATTTCTTTACTAATTCTTTTACAATTTATTAACATATCATTTATTAGCTCTCTCACTTTGTGACCAACCCTCACTGAAAAAAGGCCTTGAAAAAAGGCCTTGATAGCTTGCCTTTCCCTGGATAAATATTAGTTAGTCTAAACCTCCTAATGGTCTTGCACCATTTTCTATTAGTGATACCACAAGAAGTGAAAGGTGCCAGTACTGAAAACCAAAACAATGGCAGCTAACTTACATTTTCAACATAATTTTAAACAAATTTATCCATTCATTAGACAATCATATGATAGACTAAGATAATTAGACCTTTTGCCCTCATGGCCAATGAGTCAATAGCCCATTTGGCTTTCCACCTCATGGGCTATTTGCCTTGTAAACAATTGGGATTTGGGTCTAATAGTTAATTACCTATCCATTATTAACAGAAGCTTGACATGTGATAATCAATCACCTGTGYATTGGTCCATCCATGCCCCTCCTCTTTTCTCTGCAGGACGTGAATAAGGATCAAGAAAAAAGGAYGCTGCATGGTCTCCTGTTATGGCAATCAAGATCATAAAAAAACAGTCAATCAMACGTTGATGGATGGAATACTTGATTGATATGTAAACCTTACTTATTTACAGTCTTGCTGATTAGAACTATCCTGTGTTAATTCCATCAGGTTCTCTTACTCCCGTGCTTCTTGATCCTTGGTTTCATTATWCTCTCACAATACCAAAAAGAATCAAACCAMCCTTTGGCRAACTTGYTGATWCTGGTTGCACTTTACAGAGATTGGGCTCCMTGYKCCCTTATTATGCTTGTTGACATTCRAAGRATTCGAAGTATTTCACTCAATAATATATTTTAAATGCTCATTTTAGTTGGTAAAAATGAGTAATCATCCTTATTATATTTTCCTTTCAATATCTACTTTGTTTWGCTCTTTGTTACTTTATTGCATTTTGAAGTGTCCATTATGTTATATGATTTTGTCTTTTGTCTAACTGGAAAGTCATTAACTTTTGCCTTCCAAATCTGATAGACTCCATTGACATAAGGAAGTCATAATATTGTCATTTTACATAGATTAATGCATAATGATACTACAAATTCTTGAATTTGATTGCTTAACATCCATTGTTTTCTGCACTTAACAGGCATCAGTACCTTTTTCATTGAAAATCTTAAAGAACCGAACATCTTCATGCCAAACATCTGCCTCTCCATCTGCAGCCTATAAAACAAACATGTCAGCAAGCAGTCTCTATTTTAAAAACAACTTTAATCACTTTATAGCTTGAAAGAAAATCATAATTCAATAGTGCTTGAAACCTCAAGATTTGAAGAACGGAAGTTTGAACAAGTCCTTTGCCTGAACACTGACTTTTATCAGAGTATACTCTGATGTCAGTACTAACACACAGTACTTTGATTGGTTCTTTTCATGTTCAAAGGCTTGGGATGAGACCTAACTTCCTGAGAAATAGCAAGCAAATTAGGTCTGGCACTAATGGTATCACCAGTGTTTTCAAATGATCTGTTTCTCATTTCTGATTGGTCAAGAGCCCTCAGCCAATTCCTGATATCATGTGAACTCGAAATGATAAATGTATTATCTGTAGGTTTTCCTACAAATAATACATTTATCATGTCAAGTTCATTCAAGGTCACACTGTTGTAGCTTCTCCAAGGGCATTGAAATCCATTGAGATGGCATCCTCATGCTTTGCTTCACTTTCCAAAGAAGGAATAAAAAATATCTTAGAAGAAAAAGATTCAAAAAATATGAAAAGGTCAACAAAGGGAGCTATAAAGTCTTCAGCGAATACCTAATAGAGAAAAACTTTTTTCACACAACATCATGGCGTTCATAATTCAATCTTGTCTCTATAGTTTAATGTTCACGTGAATGCTTTTCCAGTATCCAAAATGTAAAATAAAACAATTGAATTCGGTTATCACATAATATMGTAAATGATCAAGACCTTGGCAGATAACATGGCCTTGGTCTTGATAATTTGCAATATCATACTCAACCTCATCCAATAATTGATCTCTTGATTCAATATTGGTTGTGAAAGAACTGTTGTCTATGATGAAATTACCTTGATAGTGACTCCAAGTATCTCTGTTGTAAACTTGAAAAGTCCATCAAGAACCCTAATAAAGAGATGCACAGTTTGTATTGCTACTATTTCAGTGTATTCAATATTAACAAGATGAAAAGTAATTTCATTTGTGAAAAACTTACCTTTCTAGAGGGAAATATGGTCGCAGCTGCTCATCAATAAAGCTGTAAAGTACGAAACCCAATTCAATATTGACACTGAGATGTTACTGTATCTGTAAATCCTTTGACAAATACCTAATGATGCATGGATCAATAATGTATGTTACCTGAATAAATACTGTCTTTGTTTCTCRGCCCAGTAAGGAATATCCCACAGCTGTAGGTCTCCTTTAAAGCCATTGCTAGATGCAAATGCCTAAAAAAGGAACACA